AGAGAGAGAGAGAGAGAGAGAGAGAGAGAGAGAGAGAGAGAGAGAGAGAGAGCCCGAGGATGTCCAAGGCGGCGGCAGGTCGCTGTAGCAGAAGAATGAACTCCACGGTGGATTGCAGCAGTGGACAGAACGTGGAATGGAGTGCTGTTTTTTTGCGCGGCGGCGGCCTGGAAAAGCAAGGAGTTTGAATTCGAATTCTTAGAGCCTCCCCGCTGGAGGGCATCCCAGGAAGATGCATCCATCGCGAAAGGGCAAATCGAACAGCCAACATGGCAAATGGGAACGGCGGTCCGGTTGGTGCATTCCGAAAAGTTGCGCCCCTCACTGACAGGGGCCTGCACGAAAGTTCAGAGGCCCCAGGGGCAAATCAGGGTAGTCGGCCATCAGAGGGGCAAAACGCAAATAAACGCAAACTTCAGGGGCATTTTGAAAATTTTCCCTTTCAAATTTCCTGAAAAAAAAAAAAAAGAGATTGTCCAACACTCGGATGGGAAATACACGACACACCACCACCCACCAAATGTGCAAAATGAGAACGAATCTTCTGCTAGAACATGGAAAGATACAGCACCATAATTCTCGTCTTTTGCGCATGTGGTGAGTGGCGGAGTGAGGCCCTCTTAAAAGGGCCTTTACCTGTTCAGACCCTGAATGACGAACGCAGCATAATGGGGCCCACTCGACCAGAACTCAATTCGTGAAAAGCAGATCAAAACACATGTTCTCTGGGCAAAAGTCACATCCTAACTGAAGTGAGGAGCTATGTCAAAGGTCACAGTCGTGCCCCAGGACGAACAGTTGCAGCATTCAATTGTGAGAGTAACGTCTGTTCGTCCAGGGGGCTGTGCAAGTCATGTCTGTTCGTGCAGTAGATGTGTCTATTCGTGCAGAAGTTGTGTCTGTTCGAACGGTAGTCAATGGGGTAGAGTCCCAGTCCAAGTCAAAGTCCAGTAGACAGTCCAGATTCAGACCAAAAGTCAAAAATTCAGGCCTAAAGGCCGCCGCAGCAGCAGACCCTGAGGGAAAGATACTGGGACACATTCTGCAGTGGTCTGGGACTGGGGAGAGACCCAAGGAGGACTGATGCAAACCTCGCGAAGGGATGCCAGCACTATAAGAGACCAGGCCAGCCTCCCCACACGACAGATCTCCACTGGCATTGATGCGTGGAAGTGCTGAAGCACTTGTGCGCTAGCATGCAGGGAGAATGTGCTGGCTGGAAGCTGCGCACGCCGAGGAAGAAGAGGCTGGGCGCTGACTGGCAGAAGCAGCCATAGCTGCGCCAGCATTGTTAGTAGAAATAGAGGGGTTAGTAGTAGACATCAGTGAGTAGCATTCAGAGTAGATCCTCATAAGTAGGGAGTGAGCATGCAGAGTGAGACAAGGGAACCAAGACAGGGATCTCGTGAAGGAGAGAGAGAGAAGACAGGTTAAGGAGTTCGATATGGTGGATACTTACTTGTTGGCGCCATACCTGTGATCTGAGGGCAGATGCTGGCTGAGCCAGGCCCTATATTGAGAATGGAACGAAAGAGACTAGCACTCTGTTGGCGCTGAAATCTTGGATTCGAGATACTCTTGTATGATGTTGTTGTGATAATATGAGCTGCGCTATCCGGTTCTCATCTCATCTCGATTTGGTTTCGTGTGAAGTTTCTCTGTCGGTATGATGACATATATGCATGCAATGAGATACACTCCAGCAAGCTATGAACAGTCAGGTTCCGTGCACTCTCTCTCTCTCTCTCTCTCTCTCTCTCTCTCTCTCTCTCTCTCTCTCTCTCTCTCTCTCTCTCTCTCTCTCTCTCTCTCTCTCTCTGTGTGTGTGTGTGTGTGTGTGTGTGTGTGTGTGCGTGTGTTGGTTGGTCGTTCTGTTGTTCCATCAGTCAGTACGTCAGTCCATCCATTGATCCGTCCGTCGGTCGTCTCTCGGTTTGTCTGGCTATCTGGCTGGCTGTCTGTCTGTCGGTCTGTCTTTTTTTTTTCTTTTTTTTTTGTCTGTCTAGCAACCAGGAAAAAAGGCAACGTAAGGAAAGAAAAGAAAGAGTAGGGCTTTGGTTTCCTGTTTGGAGTCTATGATACCAAGACCTCCTCTGGCTGGTTTCGGTATACAGACAGACCCCAAACAGGAAACCAAAGCCCTACAAGTTAAATGGATAGTCAAACTACTGACTAAACCTGGTACGGCATCGAATAAACTGGCCTTGGATAGCATAAGGGGCCTAGCACCGACAGCCTCACCAGCAAACATGTCCGGTCTGTTCTGGGTAATGACCAAGGAATGGATCCCAAGTACAGGGCGCAGAAATCAACGAAGAGGAAGCGGCCCAAACGAAGCCAGGGGCCCCCCACACTGCAT